GAAATACATATCTCTTCTCTCTGCTTGCCCCAATCTATATCTGAACACGTTACATATAGACTTATTCTGTGTGATCATGTCTCCATCCACAGGCCAATGCAAAAGCCTCCTGAAAGCCTACTGCCAGGTCAGCTTTTTAAAAAAAAAAAAAAAAAAACTGTCCTTTATCTCTGCCTTAGGGTTGTGTAAAGTCCCAGGGTTTAATTTTCACTAGAAACCACCATGACGGGTAGATAGGTGTTCCTATTATTACACTCAGAAGCATATGTTAACCAGAACAGATGAGCTTCTTTCAGTAATTGCAGAATTTGATGTTCAACAGTGTGTGGGATGTCTTTCGATATCTTCAAGAAGTGAAGTCTGTGGATCACGGCATACTGGTATGTGTCCTAGGGCATGCTTCTGAAGTGGGAGAAATCTTCTGTCACTTAGCCTTCTGATCATGGAAATTGTCCCTTTATTAAGAAATAAACCATTAAGTCAACTTCCTAGGGCCACAATGTTTTGTTCCCACAAATGTTCCCAAGACAATTTTGCTCCACAGAAAAAATGACGTTGCTAGGGTAGCCTAGTACCCTAAAGAACATTGGAAAAAGGAGAAAAGTATACTAAATATAACATAAGAGGGACATAGACATGTCTTTCGAGAGAGAGAAAAGTTTTATATTTTAAAGCAAAATATTTCCTTTAGCGCTGAGTTGCTGAGTAGACACAGTCTTTTTATTTTGCTTTTTGCAAAGCCAGTATTTCCACTACTGGTAAGTGAATCTGGGTACCTATAACTGAAAAGGGTTTTTCTGTTTTTTGTTTTGTTTGTTCAGTTTTGGCGTTGTTTTTTTGGTTTTAGAAAGGTATATCAAAATCAAGAAAATTTAGAATGTCTCTCATTGGACAACTAGCAGCTGAAGCTTCAAAAATCATTTGGCATGTTTGAACATTTTATCTAGGATGAACTTTCTCAATATCTTCCAACATAGGCTTGAACTCATTATATTTTCTAATGAATTAGGGTAACTGTCATAGAAATCCTAACATTGTGTTCTGTCCTAATGTTCCCTTTCTGTAGACAGATGGGCACTCTATAACCATGTAAAGTCTTCTTGTGGAAATAAACAGGAGCTTTGAATATCTCTGTGGATATCTCTGTACTTTTCCCTTTATTCCCTACTCATTCCTAATACACATGCTCTGACATTCATGGCCCACATTTTTTTATGCTGTTATTCTCTGCTTTTATTTGGTTTGGGTTTGTTTTTAATGAGGTGAACTTTGCACAGCCCAATTCCAGCTCCTATAAAATCTGTGTCTTAAATGGCCAGATTTAGAGATTTTGTATGAAGGAAAAAAAGCCCAAGACTAACCACACAGCTGTACTTAGAAACAGATGTTTTATCCCCTTTAAACTGAACTAATGAGGACAGCAGTATGGATCAGATAGGCCAGATTTAGGAAAACTTCTGTCTCGATTTTGAATCTGGAATTATGGCTTGCAGAAAAGATCGGTGATTTCACATAGGAGCACGGGAAACAGGTGGCAAATCCACTCATGATGAAAATTTGCACTACTGCACTAACTTCAAGGCTCTTCCCCTTTGCAACCCAGCCCATCTCCCTATCAGCTTAAATTCTATTCACTTAACTCACATGAGCATCCCATGTGCACAGGCCAGATACTCAGTTCACATGAACTACCATAATGCTATTGAAATCTATCTATTTACAACAGTTGAGGATTTGGCCCTGTGTCTGCTTTGCATTTAGCAGGTATGAAAGGCCTCTAAATCACTCTTCTGAAGGCTTCTGTAGGACAGAAAGCAGACCAATCATCTAGGATCAGATGCAGTGAAAATTGTAAGCTCTGATGGAAGTTTGGCTACATGTAAACATTTTGAAATTGATTTTGCATGTCAATGTGGTCTTAAAATATAAAGTGTTTTCTGCTGCTGGTTCAGAAACAGATAAGGTTTTTAAGACCATTGCTTCTCTGCCCAATCTCGCTCCCATCAAAGTCACTGGGAGCTTTGCCATGACTTCAGAGAGAGGAGGAAGAAGACCTTTGTAATCATGATTTGGCTCCCACACTGGAAAAATGCATTAGTGATGGCTTTCCATACAAAAGATGCATCAGATTTTCCCTCTGACTCCTAGTCTAAATTCTCTAAAAAAATTATTCAGGATTTGTCTTTCTAAATTCTTCTTCCGTTTGCACCCTTGCAGTACAGAACGAGTCCCTTGTACTAAGCCATGACAGCAAAACAGAATCTGCTGCTGTATAAGGCTTCGTGAGACACAGTCATTACACGCAAAGGAAACTGGGGCTAGTGGGGCCCTAGTTTCCCTAAGGACTACCATAATATAAATTATTAATAATAAAAATAAACATTGGCTAGCTGGAACTTCTCTTCTTTTCATTCCCCTAGAGCTTATTTTTGTCATGGAATTAGCTAAATAAAGCCCATTTGAAAGAATGCTTAATTGCAAACCATCCAAACAAAACAAAATTGAAATAATTGGATCTTATATATTATACACTCAAAGTGGATGGCTTGGGAAATAGCTGAAAGAATATTGTATATTAGAATACATATGGTGAAATCAGTAGTTAAGCAAAATGCAGTCTAAACCAGATTATGTTTACTTTTAAACTAGAAATTCAAGCTTTGTCAGTCTGACTCTGCTTAGAAAATACCTTGTATTATTTGAAGTCTAAACAGAATTACAACATCACTCTTTTAAAGGAGCAAAACCAGGGGAGTCAAACTTGTGGACTTCTGGATAGAGTTTGCCCAGGAAAGATCACGATGATCTACAATGACTATTATTCCATTACTTAAATCTATCTAAATCTCCTCTACTCTTAAATCTATTTCAGCTTGGAAAAGACAGGTTAGCAAAGACTACTATCTCAACAGATTATTCTAATACAGCTTATTTTCCTGGAAGTTGGCTATGGACAGCTCACAAACAGTTCTGACAGCAGCTCTCAAAAGGAGAGCAGTAGTGCCTTCTACCTGAATAAGTGATTGCGAGTTCACATCTGCCTTAGCCTTCATAAAGTCCCTTTTTTCTTATCCCTTTGTTCTAGATACTTAATTCAAACATTTCACAGTCTGGTAACACAAAGTATCTGTTTTGGCATGTGAAAACTCCCTTTTGATATTCATTAGAAGTTGAGACAGTTATAACACTTTTTCTTAAGGCAAAAATATTTCTAGCAAGGCCTGAAAATATCTTTAATGTGATTGCAACTTGTAAACAAGCAAAAAATACATTTATTTCTATATTACAAAGAGGCAAAAAAAAGGGCACAAACTCTTTCTCCTCTTTTAAAAGCAGATAAATGATAACAAAAATCATATAGTATTAATAATTTTGAAAATTAAAAAACTGTAAAATAATTTCTCTTTGGAGGACCACTGTTTGGTGTGACATTAAATCAGGCTAGTGGTAAGCAATGAAAGTGCAATGCCTAATCAGCCACATGTTTACTTTCCCGCTTATCAATAACTGACATTAACAAGACTTCTGCCAGAGATAATAAATTCCTGGAAGTGTCAGGCTCTTCCAGCTCTTCTAGCTCACCCAGCCTAAGCACAAGAGAGTTACTCATTACTCACTGAAAAACAGAAAAAAGAAAAAAGGCAGAAATAACTGGAAGTACTAAGCAGAAGTTGCTCAGTAGCAGAATTGGTTGAGATCAAACCACTTCAACGTTTAGGCCAAAAGTTAATCTAATTTTAAAGTCCCTTGAAATGTTATGGATATCGTCAACAAACACAGCAAGAGTCACTTATGAAAATGACTTTCAGTTTTGTGCACAAAAAAATCAATAGGATTTCTGTCTCAAACTTCTTCAAAGACTGTGAACTCAACTCTTTGTTCCCCGAGGACTCCAAGCTCTTACTGCAACTAGCAGTCACATCTGTTTAGTGTTTAATATTTTTCACCATCATAAAGAGTTTTTCTTAGACCTTGGACTGGTTTACTCTATATCTATGCTTAAGTACAATAACAAAACTCCCACAGAAGAGAGAACTGAGTTCTTTTGCCAGCATAGTTCTACCCCCTCCCCAAAAGACGCTGGCAATCCTGGCAAAAGGGTCTCTCCAAGGGAGAGGCCCTCTCAGAAGGGCTCTCTCCAAGTATTTTGCCAGCATAGCTAAATCTTTAGGGGTCCCATTTTTAACACTCCTCTTAGCACTCATAGCTATGCCAGAAACTTTGTAACAAAGATCTTCCCTACAGCTATACAAGAAAGTTTTGTTGCTCTAATACAACTAGAGTAGTTTTGAAAGGTATTAGTACTCTGTAGATAATGTAAAACAATCCTTCAAGGTGAACACCTTCTGGCTATATCTATACTACCAGCATCTCACTGCTATCAGAACATTAGTATTATTTACTACAAAAATACTCCTAGAGTGAATGGAGCAACCTGGCAAGGCTATGCTTTCCATCAGCATAGTTAAAATCATTCTTCATGCTTAAAATAGTCAGTTCTAGTACATGCCCAATTTTACTGTGTAATATAACTGCTTTTGTACTTGCATGTTTTGCTAATGCTGCCAGGTTGGTCAGAGATTTACACAGTCCTTACCCAACTTAGGTATGAGGGCAGGAATCTGTAACATAGACAGACTTAACAGTTGTAGAGAAGGGCTTATATTTATGTCACTTAAGATACTATAAGCACTTTGCTAGTGCAGATGTACTGCTATAATATATCCACTCTTCTGCATCAGGAAAAGGAATAAATTATATTAGCATACAACACTGCCATACCAATATACAGCAGGCTACGTTATTTAAAAAAAAAAGCATCAGCTAAGTCAAAGTCATAACAGTACCACATTTAACTGCAGAACAGAGTTTAGTATGGCTAGAAGGCAAACGCAGAACAATTACAATTCTCAGTGTAAGTCCTTCATGCCTCATGAAACAAGAATTATTTTTGTGATGTAACTTGACGTAGTTTATGTTATCCAGACTCTAGTACTTACCTAGAAGCCAATTATACTTGCGACCAATCTTGCAGAATAGGATTGTGCCACTTCACAGAACAGGGCCTTCTGTAAGAAAGGTCTCTTAGTTCCCTTTCAACAGGGATTGCGTGAACTGTAATGCCAGCCTGCACTGTGGCTCAAGAGTGTGAAGAGCTGTAACTCAAAACCGATGTAGCAAAAGACTCGAGGTGTCAGTCAGTTAGCTATGTCTACCACTCCTTAATTCATCATCTCCTATTGGCCTAATAGGACAAGGACAAAGAGTCACCTTCAGAATGTGGTATGTGGAAAAATGACAGCCAGGCTTGCATTAGGTTAATATCTACTAGAGCTGCAAAGAGATCTAACACAAAGACGAATGGCGAAATGCATAGTCCATACTCAAATAGCAGTTGCTTGGTTGGTAATTTAGGGAATCCTGGTGATTGATGAGATCGCCAGCAAATAGCTATAAATTTTAGGACAACACACAAGGAAAACAGTTAAGTATCACACTATTGTGATGACTCCAATGATATCAAAGGGCTCACGCTACATGTGTACTGACCTCCTTTTCGAGCATCAGCCAGGCAGGATTTGAGAAGGCTACAGTCATCATGCATCTCACTAGATGAACCTGAGATGAAAGCAGCAAAGTGTCCATACGGCTGAAAGGTACTATAACACAACAGTGATATGCCTTCCTGTTAATGAAGAATCAAGCCTGGCTGGAGAGGCAGTAGATAGAACAGTATGTCCCTGTGATGTTCTGCATCCCTTGGCAATTTTCACACCCTTGCAGTGTGACCCTCTAACCATCAGTACACAAACCATTGATCTTATGAACTCACATTTGTGATCCTCTACAGAATCATCACTGAGAACATACAGACCAGAGAATACACTAGCAGAAAATCACTCGGGTGATCTTCAAAATTCAGAAATGACCATTCAGGTACAAAATATACACACTGACAGGTGAGCCAAACAACAGACAAATCCAGAATTAAATATTCAGAATTGTTCCCTGACACAGTTAGACCAGCGATGACACAGTGCATTCAATACTGTAACGGCAAAATGTAATTTTGCGCCATAGGACTTGTTTTGCTCAAGAGATATTTCACAGTACTGCGACATGTTTCCTGTACTGCCGAAGATAACCTGACAATTGTAGGTCTTAATATAATTGCTCATTGCTTTAAATGAAACTAAAAACAGAGTCAAATTCATACACATAAGGAGAAAAGGCTCATGATGTACTCTTGTTACTACAGCTCTGGAGATAACAAGCTGGGCTGGGCAGATGCAGACATTATGTCTGGACTGCGGATTTACCAAAGGTGTAGAATACGTTCTTATCCCAGGCTTTCTTCTTTAGAACTCCTGAGCCTTACACTTGTGTTTAAGTTCTTGAAAAACCCAAACTCAAACAGTTTTGAAATCCTTTTCACTGCTGCTTACTTGTTTTGAACTTCTAATGTTTGTTTGCAGGCAGCTGGGATGCCTGCACTGATTTTCTAAGATTATTTAAATTCTTCTTTATTTGTTAACAAATTATGTTGGTTGCACAACCCACGGGCATGTGATCACTTCAGCAAAAGGGTGGGGCACAGCTTAGCCCCAGTGGAAGTAAGACTAAGATTCAATGGCTTCAGAGAGTTACAAAATCTATAGCTCTATTGTTTCAGTGGGAGTTCACGTAATTAAAGTAACATTTGCCATCTGCTTTCTACACAGAGGACTGTCTTGAAAAGTGTCCACATCTTCAAGATCACTATGCGGGTTCCACTTCAGACTTTGAATAACAAAAGCCTAGTGATAGATTTTCAAAAAGTTTGGGCAGATACTAATGTACCGAACACATGAACAAGGCACACAATAATGCCCAGTTAGGCTATGTCTATACAACAAAGATACAGTTATGTTAAAGCTGTGATGTTAGCGATGTAATTAAACCAAAGCAATTTTGAACATGATCAAACATCTGTCACTTTTAACTGCACATTTCGTTTATCTTCCATTGTAAAAAAAAGCAGGTATTAAATAGATAGGAATCAGTTCATCTTCACAACTGCAGAAAAGCCTGAGAACTTTCTGTACAGATCAAGTATTAGGCACATTTTCACATACAATTACTCGATTTGTACACGCTATTGTAATAATTGCTCAAATAACTTCGTGTGCATTTGGAATACCTGTGTGCGTCAAATGGTTTTGCAAATTCTGGCCCACTATTTTGACTTTACAGAAAACTCTTTTCGTAAAATTTCAATTTTACAAAATAGAATGCAAACATTGCAGAAATTCAGTGCATAGATATACTGAACGTTACTTGTATTGTGCTTTTCCTGCACTAATAGAAATGTAAACTTATTCACGCTAAGACTAAACAGTAAAGCTTAAGACTTTTAAGCACATTGAGCACTTGGGATTGCTTCCCTCTTTGATTAGCTGCTGAGCCCCAGTGTTGGAGAGCTATTTTTCCCTCTTCTAGTCTGTGGCAATTTAAATAATAAAACAGAAGTTATGTAAGTGCAGAGAATTATGGAAAAAAAAGTAAGTGGAAAGTACGTATTTTTTAAAAGCACTTAAATAACTCAAGTGCAGCTGAAGTGACATTATTCAGACTTTCCAATTTTATTCAGTACTGGATTGAAACCAAGTACAGGAAATTTCAGACCCAGAGGACAGTGTTTTAGAAAATTATAGGCACCTAATCTAGAAATTTACAATAAAAAGATTTAATTATAATGTCTGTCTGGGAAAGTTCTGCCACCTAAAGAAAGACTAACGTACCAAACAAAACAAATAATTTGTTCTGTGAAATGAAAGGCACGTGAACTAATTAAGAGGATGTTTGAACCAGCTTGCAGACATAAGGACCGATTCAGCTCCAAAGAGCACCCAAACCAGAAATCTAGATTCAAACATCTGTAGTCCTCTTGGGGAATATGGATGCAGATTCAGATCCAAACTTTACACTGAAAGTTCGTTTCTAACCTGTACAGACACAAGCTTTAGGCCCAACTCCGCATTCCTTCCACACCCAAAATTGGAGTTCAGCCTGAATAAGGAATGTAGGGGAGAAACGAATTTCTTATCTTTATGGCAGATCTTACGTGGTGATCTACATACCTCTGAACCTGCCAGAACTCAAATGTGTGACACTATGCAGTCTAATTCCAAAACTGACATACTCCAAACTATTACTCTTATAGGACACTTAAAATAACGCAGAACTATTTCCATAAGCATAAATAACTCCAGTATACATGGATATAGTCTGATAATTCTGTTACTAGCAAATTACAATAATTGAAAAGAAAATTGACAGTTATTGAAAATAACACTAAAAATTTTAAAATTTCACAGAAGAGGAAATACATAAATCAATAAATTAAAGGCAGCTCCTGGGCATAACATTATATGTCCATTATCTTCCAAAATCACAGGGTAGTGTTATGCACAAAGAGGCATCTGATGATAACATTTTTCCATTACTTCAAAAAGTCACGAACTTCACCCGGACTTTTTGGTCAGGGAAATGCAGTGACATTTCCTTTAGCTACCCAGCCAGCAGAGTTTCAAAACTTGCAGGGGAAAAAGACCTTCCAAATGCATGAATGACAAAGAACTGTGGAAACAAATAAGTCTTTTTATGTAGATGTTGGCCTTTATTTAAAAGCTTCACAAAATTTTCGGTCAGGTTTATACAGCCCCGTAACGTTAGTTACAGATGTGATATTTTATGATATGTCTATAATAAAACTGAAATCCTGATGCAGATACATTTATATCAACAGAAGAGTATTTCTGTTAATTTAATTTTTTTTTCAAAAATCAGCATAAGAGAAAAACTCTTCTTGCAAATACAGGAAGTATCTACATCTGGAGAGTTTCTGATAGAAATAACACAAGTGCCAACCCATTCTGCTGTATTTCTGGCCTTCCTGGCTATTTTGCTTGTTATTCTACCCCAACCAGTATGCACAACTGTAGGAAAAAGATTCTCTTCTGTGGTCATAAAAGCCAATAGGGGATATTAAGGTAATTTATGTTGCATTTTGTTCAGACGAATATATTCACAATATCTGAAAAAAAGGATATGTTGAATAGAGTACCCTGTGGCAATTACTCAGAGAAAAGGAAATGCTAGCTACAGTCAAGGGCTTTGGCTGCTTTAAGCCTTCAAATGCAAGATTAAATCAAAATATTTCCTATATACATTCCCTCTTTTCATCAGCATGTCAACTGCAGCAAGTAAGAATGTGCTATTAACCCTCAGCATCAAAATCTGGGATAATTTTATATAGTCAAATATTTTTCCTTACTTTCACAGAGACAACTGTTACTTGAAATGGTTTCCAAAGCCGGTTGCAAGTAGAGCTAAGTAAATCAGCTAGCACACCGCACACTTCTCAAGGAAAAAGTTTCTAAAAATGAGTCAGGATTTAATACAAATGTCTCTGAGTTATGTAACTCATGCCCATAACAGAATATTTTTCAATTTCCAATCCTGTGTAGAGAATTTTAAAATGCTAACAGATGTATAAAACAAAAAAGTAAAATTCTCTCTTATTCTCTCCTGCGTACGCATGTAGCACGCACAGAAACTAATGACAGGCTCTAAGACATGAATAGTGCTTTTACATTTTCCACTAGAAAGACGATTCACTTGCAAGTCTTTTTCCCTTTAAATTGTTTCTGTGGCAACACATCTGGTGCTATAATTCTGGGCCAGAACATTAACTATCCTGAAAGAAGAAAGTTATGTTGTTGTTCTGGCCTGCAAGAATGTGAGGCAGAGAAAGATCTGCAAATACATGCAATCATATAACCTTTCTTGCCTTCATAGGCACACAGAATATTAGCTATCGATCCTTGTGCACAGCTTAAAATGGCAGGTTTAAAAAGGTTTCTAGAACTGTTAAGAGAAAATAGTTGTGGTGAGTGCACTTTTTATGAGCCAGTTCTTTCTTTCTTTCCTTCTTTCTTTCCTTCTTTCTTTCTTTTTTAACAAAATGGTAAGTGCTTTGTTCCTACCAGATGAACAAAAGTGAGGAAAGAATTAAGCTAAGAGGAATGAGGTTCCTTTCCTAATTATAAATGTAACTATCCCCACATAATGGAGAAAACCTGATAACTGACTTCTTATCATCTTCCCAGTGTTACCTAAACATTACTGTATTATCACCATTTTACGGACGAGGTATGTCAGGCCAAAATGTATGAAGAATCTGCTAAATCTGTGTGCCTCTACTATTATTTGCCCATATTGAAACATGCAGTCATTGGCTCTCTGAGACATTGAAGACCAATTGATCTTACTGGCCTTACCTGAAATTATAGCTACCTACTGATGCTTAACTTCATGTCTTGGACAGCTCAGCTCAAGCACACCAACATTCTGAGGATTTGTAGTCTGAAAAACTGAGTTGTGGAGAAAGGAGAAAGAAGAACGGGAACAAAATCCTATAGCCCCAGTTCAGCTTGCTAAGTTAACAAACGAACAATTTCTTAAACCACTAATAACCCTGAAAAGTCAGTCTGAAATCTTGAAGTCTTATTATATAACTACAAGCCAATGTAAGTTATTAGGGGTGCTTTAGAGTGCAGTTAAGGCTGACACATCAAGATATA